AAAAATGGAATCCATGTTTCCGAACGGGAATTTGAGGCAAAGAAGTGTTCTTATATGGAAAGATTCGCTTCTCAGAATAGACAAGATGTTCGCAAAGAAATTTTCAAGCAAGTAATTCTGCACAATAATTCTGTGCCTATTAGAGAACACAAGTCTCCTAGTTTTCGGGGAACTATCCATTGAAACATTGTGAGGGGAGGTCTGATTTTTGAAAATCTCAAAAACTTCCATCAAAGTAAAAGTTTTCAAAAACTTGCCAAAAAGAAATTCACTCAAAAACCTCCCAAAAAGAGATTCAGAGGGGCTAATTTGCAAAAATTCACCTTTAAATGAGTATTCCACAGTAATGGAGATCAAAAAAGTGAAGTCGAGAGGCAAGGGAACTCTCAAAGACACAATCCATGCAGAGGTCGTGTGAAGCTTTCCTTCGGTCTACATTATGGACCCCTAGAGAACAATCACAAATGTGGCGTTCCCGTGCACGGAAACCAACCGACAAGAGCGCTTGCCTTGCAAAGTAAGCTGCCCAAGCTGCAGACTTTTCTTCTCTTTTCAGGCTGTCTGGCGCTCTCTCATCTGTAGCGCTCTCTCGCCTCATACTCTCCTCATAACATAAATTGCCAATTATCTCGCACTAATTCTATTATGATCTGATTGAATAACGATTTCTCTCCCAGAAGAAGTACACTAATGAATTTGTTTCCTAACAAAATGGGAAATATTTTAAAGATAACGATCCTCTTCCGTGTACTGGCATGCTGCACATGGTCCGCAATGGTAAAGTGTCGAAAAAACTGTTGCTCTATCTCGATACGTGAATGATCAAGGTTTTTCCAGGCTCTGCGCTGTTCTCTGGGCTTATGTACTTCAGCGACGATTTGACGTAAAGTACCGGCAATTAATCGTTCGTGATGATCTCAGTTGGCACGTTCTTTGTTGGAATCGATCGCCTCGTTGACGGTGATTGTCATCGAGAAACTTATGCAGGAAGGTGGGACCCCTTAGTTCCTTCTTTTTTGTGGACACTGAGGTCAATGTCACTGAAGATAAGCTTGCGCAGAGGTGGTACGCGTTATGGATGCAGGCGGGCTGCCCCCAATTAACCCTTTGACGGCAATGCGAATTTGCACGAAGCGCCCGTGGGGCCGCGGCCCCATTTTACGCCAGCTTTTCGTTCAAAATTAGGCAAACCGGGTCCTATAGTAGTTTTTTCCAATCGAATAGTCGTCTTGCTGACTGTAGCTAAATATAAGCACAATCGGTTTTAAGCTTGCAATTCTGTATTGTTGTGAAAAAATGGGAAGCCCGGAAACGGAGCTCTGACTGGAAAGGAGTGAGGGTAAAAACACCTGTAACCTAAAGCTTACAAAAAAACTTTGAACTCTTGTGCGAGTTTAGAATTTTTGATAAATTTGAAACCCGCACATGTGTGCAAAGACTACGAAAGCTAAAGAAGCCTTGCTAGGTGATTCTTCGGCATAGACATGCTAAATTCAATGACTATGCCGTGCGAGCTAAATGCTAAATGCTTCTAAAACATGCATATAAAATATCTCGTATTGAGCATTTCTATGAGCCACGCTATAATCAGCTACTAGGAATGTAGCTAATATCGCCTGGCATGTTAACACATTGACGACATTGAGACGCGTTACCGCGTCTCACCCTTATCATCCCTTTTTCTAGGGCATGCGCAGCTTTTTCCCGAATTGTTTGTCTCTCTTCTATGGATTAGAACATAACATTATTGTGAACGACATAGGTCATTGTTTGTTCAAATATGCTCCAGTTTAGAAGAAGTTTTCCAAGCTCACCGAAACCGGCGGCTTGGTTCATTAATAGTTTTCATGCTATTCTCATGAACACGTCAATAAAAAAGGGTAGTGAAAGTAAATGCAAATCTAAAGAGACAGAAAAATACATGTTTCACTTGGTATAACCACATCAAAAGAGCTTTTGGCATCCACTACAGATAAAATGACTAAAATTTCCTTTTTCATTACCATTACATGTTCTTTAATCGGAACTTCGTCACTATATACTCTATTACCTTCTACGCATTGACTGTTACTGAGATGTTTTTGTACCACTGGTGCTTTAAAAAGTTATCAATAAAAATTCACGGATCCGAGGTGCGGCGGTCGCACTCGCAAAATCGGCCCGGTCCCACACGGCCAAAAAAGCCAAAACGCGCGCGGTCGTCAATGTGTTAAAAATGAGTAAATCAGACGAAGAAGAAAATTTAAGGTGGCACCCACTATTGGGTGCCATTGTCCCACGCGCCAGACGCAGTGGCACCCACCGGTGGGTGCCATTGTCGCCAAAGGGTAAAAATGCTGGCTCAAGGTGGACGCACTTTAGTGCTGTTTATGTAAAGCCGCCTTCGGGCGCGGTTGCGCTTTCATTTTGCGCGCCTGTTGGAGACGGGCTGCTTCTTTGAGGCTAACGGGTGCTACAATACACCCTAGCGCGAACGCCCTTCGATAGCCGTAACGAAGTGCTCTTTATTTGGCGCAAACGTCGTGAACTGCACTTGCAGTGCGGGGTCACTCTGTGATTTCTTGGTACAAACCCGGCTCAGACCAAGAAAAAACCAGGGCATACCAAAAGACAAGCCTGGCTCAAACTGAAATAATGGCAGTTTTGCTATATACGGTGTCACAATTCCCCTAAATTTCTTGTTCAGGATCCAACGCTTATTGGTCCGCATACAGTATGTTCGACGGTCTTTCTGATACTGCCGCAGTACAACCTCGGAATGGCCATTTTCCGCGGCAGTTTCGTGTTCCAACTCATCCAGCTCGGCGAGAATTTCCTCAGTGTGTGCCATTAATGTGGACTGATCTGATAAAAAAATCAAAATAGTCGTAAGCAATTTGTTTTTGTTTTTTTTCCAGAAGAGAACTGAACCGCCCCGATCTCGCGTCATCATTGCCGATTCCGTCACTACTTCACTGGTCGTTAATGGGCATACACTGCGCTTGTTTGACAGTTCACATCCTAATTGCCGCGCACTCGTGCTCGTTGCATTTCTGAAGCGAGAGCGTTGCGGATTTGTTGAGGAGATCGTTGGTCATCGCTTCCATGTCTTTTTTGTGAGCTGTTTGGCAAATCACCAGACGCCTATTTAGTATTATCTGCTAGCTGAGTCCTTGCTTTTGCGGAAAGCTCCGGTAAAGGAAGACATATAGATTGTGTCCTGAGGGAGCGCGAGAGAGCTGTGAGGAAGACCGCGGGGTGGGGGGCGTCCCAAAAATTGTAGTGGCCAGCAAGAATTGTGGCGCAAGAGTGCGTGACAGGAGTGAGGGGATTGCTCGAGAAAATCTCCAATGCAACAGTGATACAAATATATACGAGTAGCGGTCAAAAGTTTGGAAACTTTTAATATTTTTGATCTAGCGTAGCCGATGGGCAATGAAATTGCACCGAGTTCGAATATTATCTTCAGAATCAAGTGTAGATCACAATGGGCGAACGTAATTGTTGGCATAGAACTGGAAGATTGCAGTTAGAGAAAAGGAATTTTGTATAAGAAAGTAGGCGCGGGCAAGAAGTTTTCGGAAACTTTCAAATCAGGAAGCGGGAATCGGGCGAAATTAGTTCTCAGAAGGTACAGCATTGAGTTAATGAGTTAAATCGATGAGTGTGCTGTGCGAAGTTCTATGTCGAGCGTCGTGTTTTATTGACATGGAGTTGATTATAAAATAATTTTAGGACTTTTAAGTCGAACCCTACACACTGTGAACTAAATCACATTGTTTGGTGGGATTCTTAACTGGAATGTGGGTTGAGCGACATGCCAGTTCTTCCGTGGGATGTAGAACTCAATTAGACTTTAGATCTTGACTTGGTCGCTTCATAACAGCTTCTTTTTCTGGGTTTAGGAAGGCGGCAGTGAGGAGGTAGGCCTGCATTGGGTCATTTCCGCGATAGAAAACCCATCTTTTCCGGCTAGTTCTGACTATCGAAGGAAGCATTGTATTCTACAGACTATACTTGTACTTAGCCCAACCCACATTTCGCTGGATACCTAGAACTGGGGAATCGCCGAATGGTCGGACACATCTTCATCCATGACAATACTTCCACTATTTCTGACTGTTGGAATCTTATACTCAAAATGAGGTTCCCATTTGACAAAACACTTCACAGGGTCCACAACATTATTTCTAGGAAGATAGAAATCCCTTCGTCGCTGAGGACAAAGTTTTATGAAAGTTAGCTCATGCTGCTATACACAATTTCTTCACTTATTCAAAGCCTTAAGGCGAGTGGATTTTGATAAGATTGGGTTCATAGTGGAAGTGGGGATGCTGAATAACGTCCCAGTGGGAATATTATAAAATACACACTCGAAATGCAATATCTCATCCAAATGGTAAGAGTAACCAGCGCGCCTTTGCCTATAGAAGACACTTTTCGTAGACTCGGATCACTGCCTCCGAAATAAATGCTTAGAAACCCGGCTTGGTGCTTAAATTAAGATCGCCGAATTCATCTCCTTCAGAGCTCCACCCTTGTGACAGTGAGGAATCCGACTGAGTAAGCTAATTGGGTGTGTATTGAAAACCAGCGGTCTTCAATCTCAATAGAAAATGTTTTGTTTGACCGGAAAAACGGACCTTGAAATTGAGAATCGAAAAACGGCAACATTTGAAAGACCTAGAAGTAATGATAGAATAATGATTAGCAAATAGTGATCAAGAGAATATGTGTAGTGAAGAGAATTTTGTAGTGAAGAAATTTTAAAGAAAGAGTTTTTCCAATCAACGGGGAACTGCTACCAGTGTGGAGTGTACATTGAGCGTGGTTCGTCAGGGTATTCTATTGAAAATACAAAAGTGAAACAAAACAAAAGAAGTTATTTTTAGATTTGGGCAGGAGCGTGAATTTTTCCCACATCTGATCATTTAATTGTCTAGGAAGTGGGAACAGATCTACACACGTCGTCTTCTCGAAAGCGCGAAGTGCAATGTTGACGAAGATGTGATTGCTGAGCAGAGAAAAGTGGACGAACTCGAAGAGTCTGGCGACAATCCCCTTGTCGTCAAAGACTTGGCAAAGGTGAGAAATGGCAGCATTATTTTCAAAATTGTATTTATGGTATAACTTACGTATGAAATTGTAACCTCTTTGAAGAGCATATAGGGCAAACCCTCCTCAAAATCAGATCTCATGATTAGTGCCCTAGAACAATTTTTTTAGGTACAGTCGATATCCGAAAGTTGGGGTAGGCGTGTCACCGGAAGTGACGTGCACTTGATAGAAGTTGCGTGGATAAGCTGTTGCCAGCATGCTTTGCTGATATCCAGCGATGTATGTTGGAAGCAGCTTATCCACATAGTTCTATCAAGTGCACGTCACTTCCGGTGACACGCCTACCCCAACTTACGGATATCGAGTATACATCCGCAAAGGTAGTGGATCTGACGTATCAGAGAGCGCATGACATCGTTGGTTCCAACTTTACTACGCTACCGACCACGGTTGCCAGCTCTCTCGCTGTCGCTTACTTTCTCTCATTCTACCAAGCGATCTTTTGCTTGCTTCCTCGCCACTTTTTCTACCACCATGATGGGTTAGCCTTATTCGACCGGTGTCGGCCATTATTTCTCCTTTTATTCATTGGTGTTTCATCTCGCTCCTCCACATTGATTTCCTAGCACAATACCACAGTAGGCATTCAAGGACTTCACATTTCAACGAGGTTCTATAAATCGTGACCTGCAAGGTGTTTTGGGCCATTACATCGTACGACGTGAACTTTCTGAGAAACATCTCTCCAACTTTGCAGAGATAACAAGTGTATGATCTGGTTTTGAATTTACTCAGAAGAGGAACTCACGATAAGAATGAAGGTTGAAGAAGGAGTAATTCACCTAGTTAAAAGACCGGCGAATCTCCTGGGGGTGCAGACTGGGGTGTCCCAACAGGCCCACCGCGCGGCGAAGCAAGAGACGCAGACGCGGCAAAGGGACGAGTCGCAGCGCATACTGTAGCGGTTAGGCGTCAGGTTAAAGAGAGTGTACCATACTGCGTCTCATATCGCACAGCACGCGCTGCAACTCGTCTCTTTGCCGCATCATGCGTCTCTTGCTTCGCTGCGCGGTGGGCCTGTTGGGGGACTCCCGTGCGGACTGACGCGCAACTGGCACCGATTGACTTGAACTCGGCGACCTGGCATGGCTCATTGTTAGTCCGGTCGCCGGGATCCACCCACTGATATCTAATCACTCCCTCCAGGTCTATATGTGGCGTGATTAGATAGCTGAGAGAGCGTAGTGTTGAAGAGGGCAGCGATGAGAGTCGCATCAATGCTCGCAATCAACGCGGCAAGGAAGGGGTCCTATTTCTCGGGTTCTGGGGCTTTTCTCATGGTTCTTCCTTCTTACATGTACCAACCATCATCCCTAAGGTGATTTGAAATGGGTTGCTTTTGCATCGTATATTCTGCCTTTGAATCCGAACCACTAATCAAACGGGTGGGACATCCAGTAGTGCCAAGCGCGGTGCTCTACACTGTTTAGGGTGGTGGGATATGTAGTATGTTGAAGAGACATCGTTAAAAATCTGTATTACCCGTGTATATGATAGGCAGTTTACCTTTTAGGCGTATACCAAAAAAGCTCTTGCCGTGCAGAACGTCTCATTTGCTGTGGATCAAGGCGAATGTTTTGGCTTGCTAGGCCTGAATGGCGCGGGAAAGACAACCACGTTCGCCATTTTGACGCAGAAAATTCGTCCAGGATGTGGTTCAGTGCAGATTCACGGAAGAAGGTACGACGCCTTTGTACAAGAGTGATGGGTTCATAAGACCGATTTCTCCAGTAAAAATCAGGAATTAGTTTTCATTTTACAATGACACACATTCACACCTGGCAGTGAACTACATTATGCAAGATAAGTATTGATGCTAGCTGTGATCATACAAGAACGAAATTTCTTGAATCAGCTGAAGCCAAGTGTTGGGAACCCCCATTATGGGTGGGTTTTTTGTGAAGTAATTTTGCATTTTCCTCATTTCAGTATGGTGATTGGTGATCGGTCGTCGTTTGATCAAGTGGGCTACTGTCCACAGTTTGATGCGTTGAATATGAAATTGACTACCACTGAGAATATCGAGCTGTTTGCCAGAATACGTGGTGTTCCCGAGAGACACATAGAATCAGTGCGTGCCATTCGTCTCGTAGCGATCTACCTCCGCTCCAAGTGTTCATGAATGTGTTTTCAGTTGGTCTCACAGCTTCTCGTTTCGCTACATCTCAAGGCATACTCGTCGACCGTCACCTCAGCGCTGTCAGGTGGTAACAGAAGAAAGTTGTCCGTGGCGATAGCGTTGATCAGCCATCCATCGCTTATTCTGCTTGTAAGTAAAATCGTTATAGTTGCGACTTCAACAACTAAAAAAAAAATGGGAGATGTTTCCAATATCAAAGGCGGGTGGCACAATTCATTGTATTTTGGGCATGGAGAATGTGCTTGTTAAAAGTAGCCTGGACTTTGAGAAATTAAAGGCAGCGGTTACGCTAGGTTTGAAGACCGCGCACGCGTGGACGATTGCGCAACGCGTGCTGGGCAGCAAACAGCAGGCATGGCGCCCTAACCGCGCTGCGGCTGGCAACACGGCTCGCCCAAGCCACCGATGAATCATGGGGCGGGGCGGCGCATGGGGCGGAAGGGCGCAATGGTCCTGCTCAGCAACCACAGCACTGTTCGCAGTGCAAGCGCCACACATCGCTTCCTTGGCGGCCTGCTAGTTGCTCTGTGGGGAGCAGGTTCTCCGCAGATGTGAAAATTCCTTTTCGTACCACTTCCTTGTGAAAGAAGCGGTCTTTCGCAACGGAGGAGGCTCCTTCTGAACGTCTTTGTGCACTCGATTTCGGGCTCTGGCTGCTTTGGCAACGAGGTGACTAGCTTTTTCACATTGAGAAGGTCATCACCGATGTGATCTTGCCCAAAGCGAAAATCTACAGAGGAAGGGACTCGCTCTGCGAGTTTCAGGCTATTTTCTTTAGACCTTTGTCACGATGCGGATCTGCACGTAACGGTCCGTGAAACCACGCTTCTTTTTACGCTCAACATTTGGCTTAACACCGCGCAAAATTGTCCCTAAAACAATTTTTCCTCTCATAAACCGACCTTAACGATATATTGGATATAATTGCAGCCTTAATCTTTCAAATTATACGTTTGGTTGCACACACATTCGCGTGCATCACACGGGACTGCAATGGTAGAAACATGATCATAGACATTTTCACAGAGCTCCGTGGCAAACTCCACCCACCTCGGTGCTACCCATCAATGGCGATTGACCTCCCTTCCATTGTAAGGCCCTATCCACTTTTTTCCGGTTTCTATGACTTCTTGGAAGCGATTTGTAATGTTCATGGATAACTCCACTCATTTTGGCGCACGCCCCACTCGCCAACAGCTGCTTACCTCCCTTCCACTCTATCCACTTTTTCCCGGTCTCCGGAACTTCTTACAACCGGATTGTAAGTTGCGGCAAACTCCGCCCACATCAGCGCACGGCACGCCCATCATCAACATTTGCTCTTCCCTGTCCTCTTCTTCAGCAGTTCTCGTAACCGAATCATAAACTCGGCTTCAAACTCCCCCAATTCGGGGCGCGTCACGTCCACCGGTAGCCTGTGAATTCTTCGCTAGACTCTACCCACTTTTTTCCGATCTCCGGGACTTCTTTTGACCGAGTCATTCGGTGGCAAACTCCGCCCACTTTTGTGCGCGCCACGCCCACCATTAGCATTTAACCTCCCTCCTTCTCTGACCTCTATCCACCTTTTTCCGCTCTCTAAGACTTCTCGGAACCGAATTATGAGGACTTGTAGAAAATGCTGTACACTTCAGGACACGCTCCGCCCATTGTGGGCGGCCTCCGCCCACGTCATGTATGCTGGGAACACCTTAGACATTGCTCCCTACACCAATTTGTTTTCTGCTCTGTAGGCTTTCTCCCAACCGAGTTATGAATTTTTTCATTAAGCACCGCTTTTTTGAGAGAACGCCCGCCCACCAAAGGTGGGTCAAAATTTCGTTCCTGGGGTTTTTCATAGTGAGGAATAAGCTGGTAATACTAGAAAAATTGCCAGTCTGCTGCTTGTCCCGGAAATGCAAAATTTTAGGGTGACCTTATAATTATGAAACGCACTGTAGTAGAGATTGCTGTGAAGAGAATTGAAAGGTTGGAAGGGGAACTCGGATTTGAAATGGATGTAGGATATAAACCCTGGAAGTTGCTAAGTACACTAGAATTTTTGATCCACTTCAGACCCTCCGTGTGTCCGAAGGCTGTTAAAAACTGAAAAAGCTTTGACAATTAATTGATTTTCGGCCTAATTACACGAAATCCAACTACTATGCCCTTTAGCTCTATTTGCTGTCCCTGCTTTTAGGATGAGCCGTCAGCGGGGATGGATCCTGGCTCACAACAGTTTCTGTGGAGAGTAATCGACAGGTTACGGAAATCAGGGAAGGCTGTGGTACGACTTTAATTCCTTTCTTTTTTGCGAGTTATAGGTTTTGTGGTTTCTATTCGCAAGAAGTTACACGGTTTATTACGTCTTTCATTCATGAATTGAGTGTGAAGCGCTCTGCACGCGAATCGCTATCATGGATCGTGGCCAAATTCGATGCATCGGAAGCAAGCAACATCTCAAGAATAAGTGAGAATATCCCATCACTAGCATTCTTTACTCTGAGGAGAAGTGAAGGTCAATGGATCTAACCTCGTCCTTCATTATTTAAAAAAACACACCTTGAGATGAGTCTAAGTGGATTGATCCTCTCGTGGGAAGGGAGGCGAGGGTAGGTGAGGTGTAGGATGGGGTCGACTAGTCACGAGGCATTAGAAGCAGTTTTTTGTGGTGAAGGAAGTTTTTGACCAAAGGGAATTGCATTGATCTATGCTTATACGCGCACCTGGGTTTCGCATCTCGGCAGGCTTACCGGCGGCGTGACCGCACTTAACTTCGTGCGCTGCCTGCTGTTTCCTAGCAGTGCAAGGACATCGAAACTGTTTGGAAAACTTCAATAAACTTACGTGTATATGGGTTCTTTCGTTCATTCTAGGTTTTTCCTTTCATTTAAAATAGGAAGTAGAGAGAACATGAATGTGCCGAGAAATTTTCTTTCTGGGATGTGTACTATGTTGAGCTCACTGGAGAGCGCAGATATAGCTTGCACATTAAATTGCTGCTAAACTACGCTAACGATAACCCCCATTTTGAGGTTTGCACATGCTCCACTATACATTTGTCAGATGAAGCGACGATAGAAGTGACGAACAATACCCGCTTCTTCTCTGATAGCTCAACGGGTCGAAATCAGCTTACGCCTCCATGCTTGATGATCGGACCATTTGGAAGGCAAAAGTCGGGCTCAATATTGGGTATTATGACGAATGTGCTGACATTGGAGAAAAAACGAAAAGAAACCGTCGTTAAGGCCGAGAACGAAACCCCCGCTCCCACCAGCAGTGAAGGAGGTTTGCTTGGGAGAGAGCCACGTCCAAACGAGTTTTCCGGATATGGCAATCGTTTCGGTTGAGACGGAAATCAACCGAGCTATTTTCACACGTGATGCCAGCCACGCACCACATCCCGCGGTGGGCGGGCCTAGCTGATGCCAACGAGCCATCGCTGTAAAGTAGGGTGAGGGCCAAGAGTCCTATCTAGCCTGCGCCAGGTGTCCCGAGTCCAGGAGCGTGGTCACCCCTCTGAGCGCAATCCTGGCCATAGTAGTGATGGGAAGGCCTTCTATGACCGCCAAATCCTGACTCGTGGCTTTAAGCTTTTCAAGGAATGTTAAATTTTGATGAAAATTAGGTTTTCTTAGGATAAGAAACCAACTTGAGAGATTTAAACACAGGCACTTCTGGCCGCTGGTTGCTCCTACACTAGTCAACTTTTTGAGTACGCTGCAAAAAATAATTTAGATTATTCTCCATGAAACCTTGGCATTTCTTCTTTAACAGTGTTGTTGCTTCTGTGCCAAACAGGTTTTGGATGGTGGAATATTTATTAGCCTAACGTTTCGACAAATTCGTCGTTTTCAAAGGCCTGAAAGCGTTTCGAAACATTCAAATGTTACCTATTATCCGCATAACACAATACGCACTTACCCAAGTGTCACCATGGAGAATTAGCCTAGGTGACACTTGGTTAAGAGCGTATTTATGTTGAGCGGATAACAGGTGACATTTAAATGTTTCGAAACGCTTTCAGGCCTTTGAAAACGACGAATTTGTCGAAACGTTAGGCTAATAAATATTCCACCATCTAAAACCTGTTTGGCACAGAAGCAACAATACAATTCAAATTTTTTGAAGCTTACCCTACGCCACATTTAGAAATGGACGTCATAACCATGATCCAGACCTCTGATTACACTTATCAGTAAAATTTTAACGAACTAATTTGTGCACCAATCATATTTTTAGAGGAGAATCTTCGAAAAGGTAGCGACAGGAATTGCTCATGATTGAGTTTTGTGCATTCATCATCTTTTAGTAAATATGGAAGAGTTTTTTTTCTCTCACAAGGCACATCACAGGCACCGATGCACCGACACTCGCTTTTTGATCGGAATAGTCCACAGCAAATGAAGCCTTGACGGGAAACGTATGGACCGACCGACAATGATCGAGACCATCTGGGGAAATTTCATTCTGCGACCGCATAAGCAGAGCCTTCCCTAGTCGGTCACCAGTGGAGATGAGTCATGAGTCCACTGCGACAACAACATCGCCACGCCTGATGGCATCTCGCAGCCAGGAAGCACCAGCTCAACCAAAGCCCGAACTCGTATTTAAAGGAATATACTCTCAGTTTGTTGTATTCGCTGGGTAGCCTGGTTTGGGAACCACTTCAGTGTGTGAAGACAAGCATTGCGAAAGTCAGCATGGAATAGCTTCACAGGTTGGCTCCACTAGGGCGAACCGCCTCAGGGTCTCACTTCTCATCAACGTCCCACCTCACATTGCAAGGCCAACTTGCCATGTTCATCGGACAGTCGCCCCAGTTGCACCTTGAATCAGCTCCTGCGAGAGAAGGGGTTAAGGAATACGATCTCCCCAAAAACGAACTCTCTACTTTTTCAAACCTCAACTTCACTGGTCCTGGGAGGATGGCATCCGAACGGTCCCTAGCAAATGCATGCTCATCAGTGATCATGAGACAGTTATATTGTAGATCAGTTGTTTCTAGGAAAGAAACTCGAAAACAAAAGTTCAAAATTCAGACAGGAATTATGAGACAACCCAATAATAATGAAAACGATGTGGGTGGCCATAGAATCAATCATGTGGGACAAACGCAACTAACGCGCATTGATGTAGCAACCTGCTTACCTGTGGACGCACCGCTCGACTTGTATCGAGAATGCCCGCCACATCTGACCGATAAGTAAAAGCTTTTCCTCGCTGTCTCTCCATTCACTAAGACATCGTCAAAGATTGGAAAAATATTAAAAATGGGTCCTATGACTCCCTGAATGTAATGTTTTCTTGGATCTACTGACACGGGAGGAGAGGTTGCTGAGCACTGATAATACCGCTTCTAGCTTCTGCGTTGTGATATAAACTATCGTGAATCTTGCACAAAAAACGCGATAAAATTTTATTGTGTGCCCAGATTTGAGTTGGACCACGCAGCATTCTGGGTGGATGAATAGTCCTGCGTGTATCTTCAAGACGAGTTTCTCTCAATTCAATGCATCATCTGTTGTAGAGCTTTCCGGAGTGGGTCACGTTTCTTAGTTTCCGATAGATCCGGCGACTGATATCAACTTCCGACGAAAAAACCAACCAAACTGGCGCTTTGATGTTAGGAATCTCACGGTTCAAAGCGAGGGACTAGATAATGGTGTGTGTGTGCGCAGCATGAAAGCATGCGCCAGTGGAAGCAGTAGTCAGGGGCCGAAGGAAGCGAGATATGGTCTTCTCATGGCCAAAGGGGCGCTAGTTGCGGCGCCCTGGAGCTACCAATCCTATCTGAGCTCCCCTCCGCCTGTGCTCGGAGTCCCTTCGTGTGTTGCAGCAGCACGCGCGTTCTGTTGTTGCCTGATAAGGTGTTTTATTTCGAACGTCTGAAACTATGGTCTTAGCTGGCACGATGGTGGCTATCGGTCCAACGTGTGCAAACGACCTCTTGGTTGGTTGCTAGCTCGCCCATTATTGGAGGTCAACGGGCAAAAAAGGGTCATTCTTGCGCGAGTTTCTTTGCTTTTTTCACCACTGGGGCACTGTCAGCATCATCACTTCTAGAGTGAGCCCAACCCAATCTTATCGTAATCCCTTCGCTTTAAAGCCACGAGTCAGGATTAGGCAACCAGCAGAAGTTCTTCCCAGGGTGCGATAGTGGGCTCCCCAAGCACTGAGGGCGCGACACTATCGCGACCCAAAAGTGCGCGGCAATGGCGCTAAGGCCTTGCCCGCCGCGCTGCCAGCGTAATCCACCACGGCATACGTGGTCTCTGCGTCCTCTCGCGTATGACGTACTATCTCGCGTTCTCCCTCTCCTCGCAGCGCTGTGTCTCTCCGTCGTACTACGGCCGGCCTCCTAAGGGAAATTTAGTGTTTTCTATGGTGCTTTTTGCTTTTTCTCCTCACTAATGTTCCTCATTGCACCCCTTGCCTAATGTTTGAACAAAATAACGCATCAATTCAATCCCGACTCGTGCCTTTAAGGGCGGGTATTGTGTGCATTTTCATGTCAACTATATTATTTACTGCTCCCGCTTCAGGTTCGGTGAAGGCCATTCGTTGACGGTAAAGATGAGCAGCACAAAAGATGCTCTACTCGCGGCCAAATTTGTCCAGAACCATCTCAAAGGAGCTAAAATTGAATCCATTCACTGCTCAACCGTGTTCTTCCACATCGATCGAGATGATTCAAGTATTTCCGATATTTATCGGGTTGTCAATCAGGTATTTTAAAAATAGCTTCTTCATTCATACTTTCATCAAGAATGATTGCATAAATAAATCACGTCATACATGTTCCCCTGCAAAAATATAGCGCTGGTTGGGTCAACCTTCTGGAAGAATTATCATGGTCTCCACGTCGACCAGCCATCGCGCACCTCGTCGGAAAGGGATGTTCTTCCACTAATGCTT